ATATCCCTATAGGTTCCTGTTTTTATATCCCTGTAGGTTTCACTTGACAATATATATTTTGAAAGTTAATCCCTTCATTCCGTTAGTCGTTAAAAATCACTATTAGGACTTATCCATTCTAGGAACAAAGATAAATAAAACAGTAAGAATAGCTATGATTGTATAATTAACGATAAATAATTTGTGTTTCGCATCAACAGAGAGACACGATCGATTTGAAACCGGTTTATAATGCTATAATCCTTTTAACCTTTAGCCAGAAAGTAACTAGAAATTATTTCAGGATCTTCTGTAAACTAGCTTACGTCTATATCCAAAGTTGCAGACGACATCTTAATAATCGTATATATATATAAGATGGCACGCGTGCCCTACCGTCATGCTTCTCTGCGGCTTGGGGGCTTATAAGGGTGAAAGTTTGGATTCAAACATGTTTACTAAATGTAGTATTTGAGATCTTACAATAAGCGCAGTTTATTTGGTGAAAGAACTGACAGAAATAAGTTAAACCAAAGTCTTACGTAGAATATCCATGACCCAAACTGAAATCTATAAACAAGTGTACTTACATCATTTTCTAGTTCATATTAAAAAGTATTTGCTTCTTTCGTTCACCACAAAGATATACAACAGGCTATGCGCGCGCTGTCTTCCACGGGGAATATCGAACCCTGAATTTTAGAGTTATAAGCCCGCACCATCACTGGGGAACGTTAGAATTGAAAATACGTGTCCCCCCCCCCCAGTGGCTCAGCGATAAGTGTAAATTACTTGTACCTGATGATGACAAAACCTTGTCGAAACGTTGTACATTTGCTGTTATATTAAAGTTTTTCTTCATTACCCATTCAAGCCGTCTCCAGCCATTATTAGTCTCAAAGTGGGTTCCTCGTCATCGAATTTGTACTCAATACTTTATTGAATCATTGATTTGTAACAAAAATACGTTATTAGAAATTCTGATCTTTTCTGTACAAAAGACTTATAATGTTTACTGAAAGCTTACCAAATTTCGGGAAGATACATAAATCATATCGATGTGTCGTTACAATCGTATCACGGCTTCACGATACGATACTCGTGTCGTCACACCATTAGCCTCTATGGTCGTGATAAAATAATATATTTATAAAAGTACATATTATTTAATAATTATAAATGACTGAAAGTATTTAAAAAAAGACGTGATCTGGAATACAATAAATTATACAGCTTTTTTAAAATGGCGGCGCCCAGGTTCATCTAGCTTGAAATTTCGATGAATAAACTTATAATAATGATACTTGTAAAAATACGAACACGAGTGTGTGTGTGTAAGACAACAGAGTAGTTTAATTTTAAAACCACATTTTAAAAGTTATTACGTGTGATCAGTGTTGATTGTTTTCTGCATGTTAAGAGCTCTTTCCGTCTGTATATATAACACAATAATGGGAACGGCAGCGCCGTACACGGATGACAAACCGAAAAGAATACGTCATAAGAGCATATACGTATTTAAGTGTGCATTTCCTCCTTGTATCATGTACGTGTAGGCCTAACTTGTCCTTGGCCTTATGAATAGCGTACTTCTTTATCACTGACTCCCCCCCCCTTTTAACCGAGAAACCATTCCATATAAAAAGGAAGAAGCTTAAAAAAAAAACCAACAAAAACTTGTATCAGTTTCACTGCTAGTAAGTCATCCCTTACCAAAATGAATTGGGAAGAAAAGAGTAGAGGTATAGGTTTCGATTTTGATCAGACTTGCACGTGTCAGCGAGCCTGTACTACTTCAGTGTTCTTTATGTTTGCTTTAGTCGACCCCCCCCCCAAAGAAAAAAAAAACGTAGTGTTACCTATGATCTTATCTTTTCTCCGGATCGGTGAACGCCTAGCTATAAAGCAATCCACTTCTCCATATTCCGCTCGTTCCAGTTCATTGCATGTTAGATCAGTAAAGTTAACCCAAGGCCATAGATGTGCTGAACTGTCATTATTTAATGTGTAATGATGCATAGTGTTCACAAAGAAACGAGGTTTTGTTTCCTGTTTGCTAACCACGTTAGATTATAATCAATAAACGAGCATTAATAGTTTTCAGGATATGACCAACCAGATGCGGGTGTGGTTTTTACGAATCAAATTGTTTAAATAATATCAGCTGTCCACTCGAATCGTCTTTCAGAAGAAGACCGGACAGATTGAAATCACAGATTACTGTTCTTGGTAGGTAGGAGAAGGACTACTATCCGAAATTTTCATTAATGGTCAGCACTTGACCAACAATATGGAACTTAACGTTATCAGAAGAGCACATAATGATGTGTGCTGAAAGACAGTATTTTAATAACATTCACGGATATTAAAACGACGCCTACAATTTACTCAAGTCAACTAAAAATATGTATTTCTTTTTGAATACCCCTCGTAGGTTCGTATTGATGTTTGATCAGAGAGCTTTGTCGAACCACTGAACCGATTACCATAAATACTGGCAAGTACCATTATGGCCCCAAGGGGGGAGACTTACGTGGTTTGGATCTAACCCCCCCATTCCACCTTCGGGAGCCCATCCGTTGTGTCTGCTTATAACTGATGAACCGATTGCCACCAATCCTGGCAGGTGCCATTAGGGTCCCTCCGGGAGGGACTATGGGGGTTCGAATTTAATCCCCTATGTCACTTTCGGGGGGCTCCCTTGTATCCCCTTGAACTTTGTCTATTTATAACTGGGGAACCACTGGACCGTTTGTCACCAATTCTAGTATGTACCCTTAGGACCCAATGTAGATGACATAGGAGGTCTGATTCCCCATGCCCTCCCCCCCCCCCACGAGTTCCTTGTGCGTTGAGGAGAAGAGTTAAGAATCTTAATGATTGCATCATGGCTATTTACCCCTCTACTGATCATCTTGCAAAGAAAAGCTGATGTATTACAATTATACACACTGGAGAACTGCATTGAATCTGTAGCACGTTCAGTATCGTTTAATGTGATTCAAATTCACTACATTTCCAGTTCTCTGCTTTAGTGCACTTTCATGGAATTTGTTTCACTCTCCGGTTTTAGAATCTCTCTCTTTTTTTCAGTTTTGAACTTACTCAATAAGTCTGGTTAGTAAAGTTTGTGGTGTAACTTTCTATTAGAATACACACACATCCATATGTATGTTTCAAACACATGGTTCAGTGGTTTAATATATGTTTCAGACATCTAGTTCTGTGGTTTAATGTGTGTTTCAGACATCTGGTTCTGTGGTTTAATGTGTGTTTCAGACATCTAGTTCTGTGGTTTAATGTATGTTTCAGACATCTAGTTCTGTGGTTTAATGTATGTTTCAGACATCTAGTTCAGTGGTTTAATGTATGTTTCAGACATCTGGTTCTGTGGTTTAATATGTGTTTCAGACATCTACTTCTGTGGTTTAATATGTTTTTCAGACATCTAGTTCTGTGGTTTAATATGTGTTTCAGACATCTAGTTCTGTGGTTTAATGTATGTTTCAGACATCTAGTTCAGTGGTTTAATGTATGTTTCAGACATCTGGTTCTGTGGTTTAATATGTGTTTCAGACATCTGGTTCTGTGGTTTAATATGTGTTTCAGACATCTAGTTCAGTGGTTTAATATATGTTTCAGACATCTAGTTCATTTTTAGACGACTTTCACCTCGGATGTTTGGTTTCAGGTTTGTGCATTCAGAGTATCAGAAGCTTAGAGGACATTAAGGGTTCTATATTCAGTATCAGAAGCTTAGAAATGTCTACTAAGCTTCTGATACTGAATACAGAACCCTTAATGTCTCTAAGCTTCTGATACTGAATACAGAACCCTTAATGTCTACTAAGCTTCTGATACTGAATACAGAACCCTTAATGTCAAAGGTTCTGTATTCAGTATCAGAAGCTTAGTAGACATTAAGGGTTCTGTATTCATTATCAGAAGCTTAGAGGACATTAACGATTCTGTACTTAATGTCATAAACTTAGCGGACATTAAGGGTTCTGTATTCAGTGTCAGAAGCTTAGAGGACATTAACGATTCTGTACTTAATGTCATAAACTTAGCGGACATTAAGGGTTCTGTATTCAGTGTCAGAAGCTTAGAGGACATTAACGATTCTGTACTTAATGTCATAAACTTAGCGGACATTAAGGATTTTGAACTCAACGTTCTAAACTTCGTGGGCATTGGGATTCTATTCTAAAGTTTTGTGGATTAATAGCTTTGCGTGGTACAGGTAATGGCTATCAACATCAGCTCGTGTTGATACGAAGACCGAGGCCTAAAACACACACGAGACCATTATTAGCTACACCGTTTTGCTAAACGTTTCAAAGAAAGGACAACTATTTTGGGCGGGGTCAAGGAACGGCTCGCGCAGTAGGCGTGTTAACTATGGTGAAGAGATGTTGGACTCGATATCAGAAGCGGTAGTGTGAGGACTCGAGACCTGCCTGCTCCATGATACCAATCTCAATACGCTGGCATCGCGGGCGCGTGCGTGCGCGTTGACCACGTAACTCATGTGTTGCGCGAGTTGCGGTCATTCTTATGCTGATTATACCCCTCTATATCCAACGTTTACACTTATGTTCGAACAGCTAGTAAGATATAAGAAGGATGTATATCTGAGATTAACATCAAAATAAAGGTAAGAAAAATAGCAGGATGTTAAGCAAGGATGTATTTACTAATGATTGAACTCTAACCAGGATGTTAAACAAGGATGTATTTACTAATGACTGAACTCTAACCAGGATGTTAAGCAAGGATGTATTTACTAATGATTGAACTCTAACCAGGATGTTAAGCAAGGATGTATTTACTAATGATTGAACTCTAACCAGGATGTTAAGCAAGGATATATTTACTAATGACTGAATGTTAAACAAGGATGTATTTACTAATGACTGAACTCTAACCAGGATGTATTTACTAATGACTGAACTCTAACCAGAATGTTAAGCAAGGATGTATTTACTAATGACTGGATTCTATGGCCCTTCTCCCCTTAGATCACCAAGGATCTTCACCTGAAGCACAGCACGAGAACAGTTCTCTAACGAAGAATACCGACTTAAACTGCCTGCCAGGCACTGACTACAAGGCTTCCCCTGGCGGAGGTCAGCGTCAACTTGGCATTTCGCCATTCCACTCCTCTCCCATTTCGCGAAACAACGACATGCTTCCAGTGTCCCTGGGCTCAATTAATTTACCCGTCAAGACTGAGCGCCTGTCCCCAGAGTTCGAGTATTCTTCGCCTTCTTTGTCGCCACACTCGCCGAATCCTGCCCGTGCTTTCCCCGCATCTATAAGTCTTGGCTTTGGGCTCCGTTCGGCGTTCCCTCCCTCTTCTCCCGGTCTCGAGCGGTATTCGTCTGCCGGGCTGGCTTGCGGAGTTTCGGCGTTGAAACAGATGGAGATGATGACGAGGAACTACAGCGATTTCATGCGTGGCCTTGCCGCTAAGTACAACAACCAACATAATCAAGAAAGGTAGGTTATTGTTTCAGTTAAACTGTCCACCTCTAAGACATGTTCACTTGTACACTTATTTCTATAATATGCTGGTCATTATCATTAATGTTGGGTTTATTCGAGATCTAAATACCGTGATTTGAGTTCTAATGATTAACTTCGTACAAATTACTTTACATCAAAAAATGTGTTCAATACAAATGTTTGCCGAGAGAAATCTAATACACTACATTGTTGAACGTAAATATTATACTGAAAAATGTAATACACTACATTGTTGAACGGAAATACTATACTGAAAAATGTAATACGCTACATTGTTGAACGGAAATACTGTACTGAAAAATGTAATACACTACATTGTTGAACGGAAATATACTGAAAAATGTAATACACTACACTGTTGAACGGAAATACTGTACTGAAAAAATGTAATACACTACATTGTTGAACGGAAATACTGTACTGAAAAATGTAATACACTACATTGTTGAACGGAAATACTGTACTGAAAAATGTAATACACTACATTGTTGAACGGA